ACTAGTTTACCAAATATACCACGTAGACTATAAAGCGTGCTGATACTGATATTTTAATAACACTTGATTATTAACACTTGATTATTAAAGACGGTTTTTAAAATTTAAACGCACCTATATATTTCAAAAACATATAGATTCCATATTTTGTAAAACATTGTATTATTATACATGCGCTGATGAAATGTGCTGTTTACATTAAACAACCATTGTTGAAAAACATGCACTAAGACACGCGCTTCACAGACTCCTGGCAGGGCCTTGTTAACAATTTATTATTAACACTTGATTATTAACACTTGATTATTAAAGACGGTTTTTTGAAGAGCATTTCTTAAGCCTCTCTTATTCTCGAATATTCTTCGAATATTCATCGAATCTACGAGGGGGAACCCCGATTTTTTCACTTCGTGAAAAAATTTCCCCGCCTGGGTTCCAGAATTCTCGAGGGCTCCATTCCCCTGCTCAATTTTAGCTACGCTAAAATTTGCGCTGCCGAGCCCCCTCCGAACCGATGCTTGTTAACATTTGTTTGTAAAGACCGTTTGTAAAATTTAAACGCACCTATATATTTCAAAAACATATAGATTCCATATTTTGTAAAGAGCATTTTTTATGTCTGTCGTCCTTCGGACCCACGGGGGGCGACTCCAATTTTTCACTTCGTGAAAAATTTCCCACCATCGTCGCCAGAATTCTCGAGGGCTCCATCCCCTGCTCAATTTTAGCTACGCTAAAATTTGCGCTGCCGAGCCCTCTCCAAAACGATGCTTATTAACACTTGATTTCAAAAACATATAGATTCCCTATTTTTAAACGATAGATTATAACCTCGAGATTTTTACACATCTTTTTTACATGGCCTTTTGCTGAGGGACGACTTTGAAGCATGGCCTTTTACCACTATATTGAAACAATGACTTTTTCGCAGCTTTTTTACATGACCTTTTACTGAGGGACGACTTTTGAACCATGGTCTTATTTTGCGCTGTTATAAAGATAGTTTTTACCCACGGTTATATGTAGTATAGTACATGGGGCGTATGAGATAACAAAAAGTGAACTTTTTGTGATCTCCTACCCCCATGTACTATACTACTAACGGTACACTATAAACGGAATGGCGTAGTTGCAAGCCATGCAAACGCCCAAAAATCATGTCCTAATAATTATAATATAAATAAGAGCTTGCAAGCGTTGGTTCGGCATTCGGAAAAACAGACGTTGTTAGACGTACAAAAGTAATAAGTTAGAAGTCGTATCGCAGGAGGCGATAGCGTTTGAATAAGTTTCAAGTTTAAGATTGACGGTTGGCCGTAATCTCAACGATTCAATAACATATTTGTGTCGCAAAGAACCAACGTTTGGAACACCGTATCGCAAATCGTGCACAAACCACTGTAAATATCCTATCAAGTGTTAAATACAATTGTCGAAATACAGTCCCATCGTTCGAGTGAAGTCTCGAGAGCAGTGAACCAGCACTTCGTACAGGTTGTGCGAAATATCCGCAATCAACAAAGCTTTTCTCAGACAGATATTTAGACTTCCTAATCATTCATGTAACCAACTGTCCAATACTTAGCCTACAACTCGAAAAAACTCTAAACTCGAAAAAACTCTATTACAAGTTCCATACAGCTTGTAATAATTTACACTAAAATACAAACCGAAATTCCAAAGTTGGATTTTGCAATAAATAAGTCAATGTATTTCCAATTTGGTTCGTTTGCAGTTCAGGTGCAACTAAAATTGACACTCGAATAACTTTATCTGTTTAATTTCATCTTTACATAAACGATATATAACTTACATCCATTTGTAAGTACCCATCTATTATTGCTGTAAATTCCATATCCCACTTTTGCAGACGGTAAAACACGAACATAATAGTTTGTTTCTGCTTTTAAATAGTTTATTTCCAAACGCTGTTCCTTGGTGGTATAGTTCATTGAACACGTTTTATCCTCTAATTGTGTAATACAAACAGTGTAACTGACTATCTTTCCATTTCTATTGTTCTTATCAGGTGGTTGCCACGTGACTGATAACGATGAACTGCTGATGGCGACAATTTTAACATTTAAAGGAAGACTTTCGGGAAATGAACATAAAATAAAAAACAAATATTTTAAAGATTTATGTAAAACAGTAAAAAGTTAAAACACAACAAAAGAAAAACATGATTGACACAATTGTCGACAAGCAAATAATTTTAGTTTTCAAAATTAGTCCGCAACAATAACACCATGTCAATGCAATAACATCAAAAATGAATGAACAAAAACTGATATGAACTCACCATCTTCAGCAGTTCTAAATTTTGCTGTAGTTGATCTACCAAAGCCTGCAGAGCTGCCAGCGGTTCCATTAACGACATACGTTGTGTAAGGGACAAGATTCATTATGTTGTATGGTTTAATGTCAGCCTTCTCCCAAGTTTTATTAAAAACAATGACAGTATCATTCAGCAAAATCAATCGATATCTTGTCAGAGGATTCGAGATGTTTGTACCAAGTTTAACACCAGATTTTGGGGATGTTTCCATGATATCTCGAGGTACGTCGATGCAACTTTAGTTGCAATAAGATCTGTTGGTTTGTCTGGGAGTAAGTCTGTACGATAAAAGAAAAAACTACAAAATGAATCATACATGTAGCCCTTATACTAAATCAGTGTTCTAATTATTTCTGTTTTTCGCCAATAACAAATGTTTAACTTAACTGTTGAAAAAGTCTTTTTTAAATTAAGTTATTTCAAAGGAGAAAGCAACTAACGCTACACTCTTCATGCAAAATCTTTGGTAAATTTTGTCAATTGAGACGTGTTTAATTAATTCTCAGAGCAAGCAAGTTTTTGTAATGAGTAATTTAGTCCTTACAGAGAAAACTTCACCTGCATAACTTTTCATTTCTTACCTCCACCACAAATTTCAATTCGCAAACATGGTCTACCAACAAACTTCAATGGAAAGATTCGTAAAACTTTGGATTTTATGCCATCAGAGAACTTTTCTATAGCTGCATCATTGTAACCATTTTTGTTTCCTTGATAAATCTGAAATAAACCAAGAAAAATTATTTGCGTAGATTATAGAACAAGGTTAGAGAAAAGCCAGGTTTTGTTAACGTAGTCCAGAGGAGAGTAGTTTATGTCTTGCCTTAATATCTCCTTAAACCCACAAATCTCATATTTAATATTGACAGTGACATTTATTGCTCTTTCACAGAACTACAATAACCAAGACAAACAACACCTATACAAACATCTATATAAACAGCAAAATTAACTTGGTTTATGAGTTAATCCCTATCTTTAAATTTCTTAAAATTACCTTTTGGGATTTTTCAGAGTTCCAGTTAACACCGTCAATGTTTGTAAGCAAGTGATATTCAGTTATAAAGCTTGAACTTGAACTGTCTCCAAAGATTGCGATAACGTTAACTGTATAAAGACTTGGGAAATTCAGTTGAAGATAACGATTGACATCTGCAGCAGAATCACAAAATGAACTACCATTGGATATTCTTGCTTTAGCAGCACTGCGACTCTTTGGGACAGCCATAAACCAAGAATCTGGGAATTTTTCTGCGTTTTTCAATAGAGGATTATCACAAACATGACCTTAAATAGAAAAGGATTTTGTTGAAATGCATTACAATATTAGAACTGGTTTGATTTGATAGAGAGCAATGATGCAATCTCCATTCACCAAAAATCGCAAAAATTAAATATCGTTTTCTGAAGAAAGAGAAAGAGAAAGAGCACAAGTAGTATTGGAGGAATACAACTGATTTTGCATGCTTTTATTAAATAAGGTTAAATTCCAGTTCGAATCAAGCCAGCTATGACAAGGAACCGTAAGTATCTTATCTAATAACAGCAATACCGTAGCGATTTAAATTTCCTTAAAGAGTGAACATCAATCATTGTGCAGAGCAATGACAATTGGACATTTTTTGAAGCACGAAATGAACTAGCAAGAATGAAAATCATTCAAAAATGCTAAGAACACACTGGAAACATTAACAAATGTAGCTAAAGCATGTCAGCTGCATGGAAAGTTCAAAGACGCAATTAAAAAGGCTACAAAACACAGTGTAAGCATTTCCAAAAGTAGTTAAAGCATGTCAACCACATGTAAAGTTTAACGACGCAATAAAAAAGGCTATAAAAAAGTGTAAACATTCCCAAAAGTAGCTAAAGCATGTCAGCCACATGTAAAGTTTAACGACGCAATCAAAAAGGCTACGAAACACAGTGTAAAATTCCCAAAAGTAGCTAAAGCATGTCAACCGCATGTAAAGTTCAACGAAGCAATCAAAATGCTAAAAAACACAGTGTAAACATTTCCAAAAGTAGCTAAAGCATGTCAACTGCATGTAAAGTTCAACAACGCAATTAAAAAGGCTACAAAACACAGTGAAGTAGCTAAAGCATGTCAACTGCATGTAAAGTTCAACGACGCAATCAAAACAAAACAATGTAAACATTCCCAAAAGTAGTTAAAGCATGTCAACCACATGTATAGTTCAACATCGCAATTAAAAAGGCTACAAGACACAGGATGATTTTAAACATGAGAAACGACATATATCATTCTGTTGCATTAAAAGCATTAGGATGGAAGCCACTAAACTGAAACGTAAAAAAACAATAAAAAACAAAATCAGAAGTCGTGTTTACATTATTCAAAGAAATGGAGACAAAAACTACTCAATGATCTCTTTACATATAAGAATGAGGTGAAAAACTACAAACTTCGGAACATTTCAAATACTTATTGTCTACCACCACCGCGCGTACAAATATCGTACAAAAAAGTTACATGTAGGAGGGAGCATAACTCTGGAATTATGTTCCTAAGGAAACTAGAGACCTGTTTGATAAAAGGCCAAATTAAGGTGGACATTCGTTTTTCCAACTGCAAATGGTAGACATCTCCAATCGCTAAACTTGGGAACGCTACGAAGATCCGATTCGGTTTGAAGCAAAAAAGGGCAAGGTCACATTCTCGTCATCCACAAAACAAGAAATCAAACCACATTCACTGTCTCTGTTTTGAAAAAAACAACGAGCTATTACTAAGCACTCACTTTTGATTTTAAAACATTATATACTCATTGTATACTCCAATCTTGTGTCTTCATCAGGCGTGACCTGATGATGAAATTTGACTCCCTATATACTCCAGTCTAGTGTCTTCATCCGGAGTGATCTAATATTAAAACTCGAGTCCCTATATACTCCAGTATAGTGCCTTCATCAGAAGTGATCTAATATTAACACTTGAGTTCCAATATACTCCAGTCTAATGTTTTCATCAGGAGTGATCTGATGGTGAAACTTGAGTCCTTATATACTCCTGTCTGGTGTCTTCATCAGGGGTGATGTACTCGCGTCTTTATATTCTCCAGTCAAGCCTCTTCATAAGGTAGTATCCTTATGTTTCATTTTGAGTTGTCCCACTTTCCGGAGATATGTTATTAAAAGAAAACTGTGAGAAAAATAATGTTAAAAACAAACCTCTCACGTTCGCCTTTTCTTGGACTTCTTCCTATCCATGTCATTGACTTACGTTCAATCACACCAACGTACCACTCATCAATTGACGGCTGAAACGAAAACCGTATAAAACACGATCAAATATGGAACGCAGCACTACATATCCCCATGTAATCCTCAAAAAAATATCGAAATTGCAAAACAACAACTTTATCCTTCAGCAATCCCTTGTGTACACAATAGTATGAATACAACGGCTATTTTACTGCAATACTGCAAGTAAGGAATTACTATAAAATATCCTGCCATTTACTTGTACAATATGCAAGCCTAACCTTGACCAGCACAAAAACCCAGTCCTAACCAAGTGTTGGTCTTTATGGCAGGGTATGGTATAATTGTGGCCACGGAAACATTCAAGCAGTAATTTAATATGATTGGTTGGTACAATATGGTGACTATATGATTGGTTTATACACTAGGGTGACTATATGATTGGTTGATACACTAGGGTGACTATATGATTGGTTGATACACTAGGGTGACTATATGATTGGTTGATACACTAGAGTGACTATATGATTGGTTGATACATTATGGTGACTATATGATTGGTTGATACACTATGGGGACTATATGATTGGTTGATACACCTGGGTGACTATATGATTGGCTGATACACTAGGGGGACTATATGATTGGTTGATACACTAAAGTGACTATATGATTGGTTGATACACTAGGGTGACTATATGATTGGTTGATACACTAGAGTGACTATATGATTGGTTGATACATTATGGTGACTATATGATTGGTTGATACACTATGGGGACTATATGATTGGTTGATACACTAGGGTGACTATATGATTGGTTGATACACTAGAGTGACTATATGATTGGTTGATACATTATGGTGACTATATGATTGGGTGATACACTATGGTGACTATATGATTGGTTGATACACTAGGATGACTATATGATTGGTTGATACACTAGGGGACTATATGATTGGTTGATACACTAGATTGACTATATGAATAATTGATACATTATGGTGACTATATGATTGGTTGATACACTATGGTGACTATATGATTGGTTGATACACTATGGTGATTATATGATTGGTTGACACACTATGATGACTATACCTGGAGAGTTATGTTTCCACGTGGTAAGATTCTCACACGAATCGCATTCAGCCTTCCGGACACGTGATCCTGTAAACGCGTTTTAAAGCTGTAGAAATCAGTCAGTCGACAAAAAATCTCAAAATGCATCTTTTTTTCACGAGCCTCGACGACACTGACTCCACTTCATCGGAAAAATTGATTTCTTGTTCCTATGGAAAATAAAACAGCAACTGATCACGACAAGCAATAATTTTGAGACGATCATGCACTAACTAAGGCTTTAAAGTAAATGATTTGAAGTCAGGAGTACCATTGCATGTGTGTAGATGTAGATCGTCCACGTTATGGAAATCTTGAGAAGGATTGTTGTTGTTGATGTTGACTGATGTTTCGACAACCTAAGCGGTAGTCATCTTAAGAGTGAAGCCTACAGCGAAGGTTGTCGATACTCTGGTTAATTGATGACAGTCAACACCAACACCAACAGAACTTCTCAGACCTTCACTAAACCTGGACGATCTTCATCTACAAACATTTAACGATACTTTAAACTAACATCAGCAAAGCTACATTTATCTTGACATACTTTCACTGGCACATATCGAGCTTTACGTAGCAAACGCTGTTCTAACGTGGTTAGAAGAGGTTGATTTGAAAGTTTTTGCTTACGATTGCCATTACAACAAAACTCACCGCATCAATTAACTCGCTGAAATGAAAGAATAATCTTGTATCCCTATCACAACACTGAATGAGGCCATAGCTGTCTTTCAAAGACGAAACAAACCCTAACAAGGAACAAAAATCATGCATTTAATCACATTACACCACGAACAATGTCTACATAGATCTTTAAGAAGGAAACGAATTCAGGCCGATTCTGTGCACTATAGTTATACATCGACATTCATAAAATAAAAATGCCCAATGCCAATGCCCATGGAGCACAATGTTAGCGTTGTCGAAAATAAAACATCTCCCAACAAAATATGAGAGATTGAAGACTGTAAAATACTTTGGATAAACCTTTATATTCAACGATACATTGTGAAATTTTGAATGCTTCGAGAGCAAGTATAACTTTTTAGGGAGGTACAGTTTGAGGGGGGGGTAAATTTCGTGACGGGGGGATAAAATACTCATAGATGAGGAGGGGAAAAGTTCAAACAAAACTCCAAGCAATTAACATTTGCCATCACAGTGATAAATCTAAACAATTTCCCGCAAAACTTGGAGAAATGGCTTCCTCAAGACGCAGCCTAAACACTAGCACATGTAAATGAAAATTAAAAACTTACTCTTTCTCTGACATTGCATCCATTGCTGCTTACCACTTCCTTGATGAGATTAATTTCCGTTGCTCTTCTTAAAGAATCACGCCGATATGCACGAAAAGAAGAGAAATGTATCGCTTGACTGAGTGGCTAAAAGATGGAAGTATGCTTTATATTCCAGATATCACGGGAAAAATTGTTAATTTCTTTCATTGTATGAACATTTTGCTATGTCCAACTGGAAACACTCAAAGGAAAACTACAGTTTGAAAGCTTGGTTATTCTGTAAGGTACAAACACGTTTGGTATTTTCTTCAAATGTTCAGACATCCATGTTAAGCCAGACACCAGAACATTTAATGAACTTAAACTGATCTAACTTTATTTATACTAGATATCTCTATCAGTTCTGAACAGTTCTTACTGTAAAGATCATCACTTATTGATCCAGTGTTACTACAGAAAGAGACCTAAACTAAACTAACTTTCTTTAGACTAAATATCTCTATCAGTTCTAAACTTTTCTTTCTAATGATCCAGTAAAGATCATATCTTATTGATCCAGTGTTACTACTCAAGGAAACCTAAACTAAATTAACTTTATTTTTACTAAATATCTCTATCAGTCCTAAACATTTCTTTCTTATGATCCTGTTAAGATCATATCTTGTTGATCCAGTGCTACCAATGAAACAAACCTAAACTAAACCAATTTTATTTATGTTAGATATCTCTATCCGTTCTAAACTCTTCTTCCTAAAGATCCAGTAAGGATAAGCTCTTATTGATGCAGTGTTACTACAGAAGAAACCTAAACTAAACTAACTTAGTAATTTAATATTTATATTTTGAGTACGATTCCCGCCTGGTTTATCGATCGTAACTTCATCTATATATACTAGATATCTAAATAAGTTTTAAACTATTCTTCCCCTAGATCAACAAAATCATCTCTCATTGATCTTGCACATGTTGAAATAATACCAACAGTTACAACAAACCATATTTACCTGTAGCAATTTTAAAACCAACAACATCCCCAGTCAAGACGGTGAACTCCCCCAAGACATCTTTCTCCCAATATGGCAGCTGTGAACTACCATCGCTTGTGTTGTACAATATCACACCATTTAACGGTTCCTGTCTTTTTGTCCGACAATGTATTTCTCGATGGTGCCTTGAAATGTGTCTTTGCTAACATTAACAAACTTCACTGTAACTTCTGGTAGACGCTCCACTGAGACTGCAACTTCTTTACCCTGTGAGCATGTGATTGACATAAAAACAGACGGGGGGGGGTAGAGAATGTCCAACATTGAGCAATGGCTACATAATACATAACTAACGTACATATCTATTTTGTACAACAAACTGGACATCATCTCCTATCAACAAATCACCAATATCCCCAAGAAATTCACTGTAGTGGAAAAATATCTAAAAGAAAATTATAGTATAAAACTTCAGTAGACTTTCTGCGCGAATTGCAATAAGATATACAGAAATATTTTCTTTGTTTCTAAGAACCTTTCTCGATTTATCTAAGTAAAATGCGAGACTTAACAAGGAGGAAAAGGCAAGTCTTTAATTTTCACCTTGATCAAGCGAAAGGTTTAAGCCCGGGAGCATTTTTACATGTTGGTGCGTACGTAGATGTAGCGTTGTAAAAATTGGCCAAGTTTTTAGAAACAAACTTTACGAATGTTACATGTTTGTGCGTACGTAGATGTGGCGTCGTAATAATTGGCCAAGTTTTTACAAACAAACTTTACGAATGTTACATGTTTGTGCGTACGTAGATGTAGCGTCGTAATAATTGGCCAAGTTTTTACAAACAAACTTTACGAATGTTACATGTTTGTGCATACGTAGATGTAGCGTCGTAATAATTGGCCAAGTTTTACAAACAAACTTTACGAATGTTACATGTTTGTGCGTACGTAGATGTAGCGTCGTAATAATTGGCCAAGTTTTACAAACAAACTTTACGAATGTTACATGTTTGTGCGTACGTAGATGTAGCGTCGTAATAATTGGCCAAGTTTTACAAACAAACTTTACGAATGTTACATGTTTGTGCGTACGTAGATGTAGCGTCGTAATAATTGGCCAAGTTTTACAAACAAACTTTACGAATGTTACATGTTTGTGCATACGTAGATGTAGCGTCGTAATAATTGGCCAAGTTTTTACAAAACAAACTTTACGAATGTTACATGTTTGTGCATACGTAGATGTAGCGTCGTAATAATTGGCCAAGTTTTACAAAACAAACTTTACGAATGTTACATGTTTGTGCTTACGTAGATGTAGCGTCGTAATAATTGGCCAAGTTTTACAAAACAAACTTTACGAATGTTACATGTTTGTGCGTACGTAGATGTAGCGTCGTAATAATTGGCCAAGTTTTACAAACAAACTTTACGAATGTTACATGTTTGTGCGTACGTAGATGTAGCGTCGTAATAATTGGCCAAGTTTTACAAACAAACTTTACGAATGTTACATGTTTGTGCGTACGTAGATGTAGCGTCGTAATAATTGGCCAAGTTTTACAAACAAACTTTACGAATGTTACATGTTTGTGCGTACGTAGATGTGGCGTCGTAATAATTGGCCAAGTTTTTACAAACAAACTTTACGAATGTTACATGTTTGTGAATACGTAGATGTAGCGTCGTAATAATTGGCCAAGTTTTTACAAACAAACTTTACAAATGTTACATGTTTGTGCATACGTAGATGTAGCGTCGTAATAATTGGCCAAGTTTTACAAACAAACTTTACGAATGTTACATGTTTGTGCGTACGTAGATGTAGCGTCGTAATAATTGGCCAAGTTTTACAAACAAACTTTACGAATGTTACATGTTTGTGCGTACGTAGATGTAGCATCGTAATAATTGGCCAAGTTTTACAAACAAACTTTACGAATGTTACATGTTTGTGCATACGTAGATGTAGCATCGTAATAATTGGCCAAGTTTTACAAAACAAACTTTACGAATGTTACATGTTTGTGCGTACGTAGATGTAGCGTCGTAATAATTGGCCAAGTTTTTACAAAACAAACTTTACGAATGTTACATGTTTGTGCGTACGTAGATGTAGCATCGTAATAATTGGCCAAGTTTTACAAACAAACTTTACGAATGTTACATGTTTGTGCGTACGTAGATGTAGCGTCGTAATAATTGGCCAAGTTTTTACAAACAAACTTTACGAATGTTACATGTTTGTGCGTACGTAGATGTAGCGTCGTAATAATTGGCCAAGTTTTTACAAACAAACTTTACGAATGTTACATGTTTGTGCGTACGTAGATGTAGCATCGTAATAACTGGCCAAGTTTTTACAAACAAACTTTACGAATGTTACATGTTTGTGCATACGAAGATGTAGCATCGTAATAACTGGCCAAGTTTTACAAAACAAACTTTACGAATGTTACATGTTTGTGCGTACGTAGATGTAGCGTTGTAATAATTGGCCAAGTTTTTACAAAACAAACTTTACGAATGTTACATGTTTGTGCGTACGTAGATGTAGCATCGTAATAATTGGCCAAGTTTTACAAAACAAACTTTACGAATGTTACATGTTTGTGCGTACGTAGATGTAGCATCGTAATAATTGGCCAAGTTTTACAAACAAACTTTACGAATGTTACATGTTTGTGCGTACGTAGATGTAGCGTCGTAATAACTGGCCAAGTTTTTACAAACAAACTTTACGAATGTTACATGTTTGTGCATACGAAGATGTAGCATCGTAATAACTGGCCAAGTTTTTACAAAACAAACTTTACGAATGTTACATGTTTGTGCGTACGTAGATGTAGCGTTGTAATAATTGGCCAAGTTTTTACAAAACAAACTTTACTAATGTTACATGTTTGTGGGTACGTAGATGTAGCGTCGTAATAATTGGCCAAGTTTTTACAAACAAATTTTACGAATTTCCAAACATAAACTTGTTGCTGTCGTCAGCTATCACAAAAATACGTCAGTTGAGTCACGTGACTGTTTGCAGACTGAAAATTTCCAATCCTACTTCAAATGCCAATCAGAAGTCATCGAGTGTAAAATAATGATCAAATCGTATACATAAGTGAAATAACTGATAGAACTCATTTTGTATTGAACAATAAATTATCAATACTGATCTATAGGGAGCAACTGCAACGGCCCAAACACAAACCTCGTTCACTTTGTCAGCTCTGTCGATGAAGCCAAACGATTCCTTGAGCGAGCAGACAATTCCTTGAACAGGAGGCGAAGCTTCGAGCAGCAACAACTCCACGGCACAGCATTGTCCATTTCTATAGAGGTTTATGAACTGTAGAAGTGCATCAAACAAACAACAATTTGGACATGGCTCGTAAATTGGACATGGTTCGTGTAAATAATAAACTAACGTTCATGTTATAAGCGTTAACCAAAGCGTTTTCATGTGTAAGGTAGCATATCAAAACGTAGAAATAAGGAGAAAGACTTCACCAAAATAGAAAGAACATTCTTAAGACTGCGCATTCATTGCTTAACCACGTAATGTAATGCACGCGATGAAGCACGTGATACAATCTAGAGAAACAGTACAAGCTTTCGACGCTATAGCAAAGAATATAATTTACCTTTTGTTTTCCAGGATGTAAAAAGACACAAGATCACCTTTGTAGATGTGAGATTTTGATAAAACATCAGCTTGATGATATGGAAGAAAAAACAATTCCTGAAAAAAAAGGAGCAACGGTTCGAATCATAAAGATCCACCCCCTGACCGTGCAAACCTGTATTATGCAATGATCTTAAACTCCACCCCCCTGACCGTGCAAACCTGTATCATGCAATGATTTCAAACACCACCCCATGACCGTGCAAACCTGTATTGTGCAATGACTTTAAACACCACCCCTTGACCGTGCAAACCTGTATTATGCAATGATTTTAAACACCACCCCTGACCGTGCAAACCTGTATTGTGCAATGATTTCAAACACCACCCCCTGACGGTGCAAACCTGTATTGTGCAATGATTTCAAACACCACCCCAATGACCGTGCAAACCTGTATTGTGCAATGATTTCAAACACCACCCCTGACCGTGCAAACCTGTATTATGCAATGATTTTAAACACCACCCCTTGAACGTGCAAACCTGTATTGTGCAATGATTTCAAGCACCACCCCCCTGACCGTGCAGACCTGTACTATGCAATGATTTTAAACTCCACCCATTGACTGTGCAGATCTGTAACATGCAACGAACATAAACACCACCCCCTGACCGTGCAAACCTGGATTATACATTCATTTTAAACTCCACCCCCGAACGTGCAGACCTTTATATTGCAATTATCTTAAACTCCACCCCCCTGACAATGCATACCTGTATCATGCAATGATCTTAAACTCCACCCCCCTAACCTTGCAGACCTGTATATTGCAATTATCTTAAACTCCACCCCCCCTGACAGTGCATACCTGTATCATGCAATTATCTTAAACTCCAGCCCCCTGACAGTGCATACCTGTATCATGCAATGATCTTAAACTCCAGCCCCCTGACAGTGCATACCTATATCATGCAATTATCTTAAACTCCAGCCCCCTGACAGTACATACCTGTATCATGCAATTATCTTAAACTCCAGCCCCCTGACAGTGCATACCTGTATCATGCAATTATCTTAAACTCCACCCCCCCTGACAGTGCATACCTGTATCATGCAATTATCTTAAACTCCAGCCCCCTGACAGTGCATACCTGTATCATGCAATGATGTTAAACTCCAGCCCCCTGACAGTGCATACCTATATCATGCAATTATCTTAAACTCCAGCCCCCTGACAGTACATACCTGTATCATGCAATTATCTTAAACTCTACCTCCCCGACAATGTATACCTGTATCATTCAATTATCTTAAACTCTAGCCCCCTGACAGTACATACCTGTATCATGCAATTATCTTAAACTCCACCCCCCTGACAGTGCATACCTGTATCATGCAATGATCTTAAACTCATCTCATCTGATCTAATTCGTATCCCATATTGCAGTATAATTTTAACTTATCAAGGGCGAGAATACAGTGGCGCTATAAAAGCCTCGATAATTGTAGGGGTGGGGAGGGTAGTCAATGTTTATGTAGGTATGCATGTCAAAAAGCCTAAAAAATTAATTTAATACGGCAAAATATGCATAGCAAGCTTTCTATGGTGTGGAGGGAACGATCAAAATCCAAAAAGGAAATAAGGGCGAAAACCTGTTTCAAAAAAGATGAAGGAAATGTCAATAATTTGCAGGCAGTAATCTACACTTTCTCTTATCGTCACGTCACTAACTTTCTTGCCTGTTTCAATTTTGGGTTTTTTGCCCAAAGCAACTATTTTGCCCACTGGTGTGTTCTGTATTTATTGCCCAAACGATAAATGTTCGATACAAGATGTTGTGTAAAAAGTTTGATACTTTTTATATTTTACATTAATTCTTGTCTCTCAACCCCCAAATGACTTAGGTATAAAAGTTAGCAACGTGAAGATACATAAAAAATGGAAGAAGTTCAAACAGTACTTACTCCGTTCACTTCATAACTAACGCGACCACATTCGGACTCGCCATTGCGAAATAACTGCTACAAAAATAATGATGAAACTTTCTTCGAAAACGACATCACAAACATTCAAAGTACAATAAAACAACAGCAATACGCAACTCAAAAAATTCATACACGACCATTAACAACGAGTAATTTTAAAGCAATATGCATAACGAACAGCGTTGTAGCAAGCACGATAACTGGGGGGAGGGGGTGAGCACACATCCATATATTCCACATAAGCATGTCCTGCTGTATTGAGTTCCATTGTGTTACATGCATAAAGACGTGCATAGATGAATTTGTTATCTACCCACCCCTCCCTTAATTAACGCGTTTGCTTTGCCAATGACTATTACATTTTCCCAGCTAATTGCTCACGATGAAATTAACCTGCTTGGGGTAGCTGTGTCTCGACAACATGACCTCAACTTCCACTTTACCAACAACTCTTTCCTCGCTCTTTTCCTACAATGGAAACATAGTGGATGATTAACCAAAAGACGATTTCTCAATTTCTCGAAAAACTTTGTAAACCAAACCAGGATGAACGTACATACACGGCAAGCGTCAAAAAGTACACAAGGTGTCAAGGTCACTTACTTCAAATGTAACAGAGCCTTGTTCCAATTTCACCACTCGACATGCAATTGGTTTACCCTTACGAGAATCTGATGTCACTTCAAACTCCACAGAGTCTAAACAAAAAAAGATTTCATCGACTATCAATATCAATCGAAATGTTTTTTACACTTCAGATTATAGCCCTGAGCAGTGGCCTTTGCAGCAGTAGTAGAAACAATGGGATAGGCGGGGTGAGGCAGATGGGTGAAGGATTACAGTGTGAAATTCCCCAACAAGTCAATGATCAGTGGATTGTTCTGACTACGTAAATAAACAAAAGTTCTGTTTCGTTTTACCTCACAATAAAACAAAGCCTATACATGAGTTTGAAAAGTTGTTTTATAACTAACAGTAACTTTTGGACACACTTTTTTTGCAGACAGAGTCCTTCAGAATACCCATCACATTCACATTAAAAAGACAGAAAAGTGCAAGTTAGAATAGCAAAGAACACCCTCGCACAACATCGTGAAGGCACGTGAATGCCACGTGTTGATAACATGTACTGTGGTGGGATTCAGATGGTGGAGATCAAATTTTAAATGTATACAAACAAAGGTATGCCCTGGAATCTCCATAGAACTCTTATGCCTTGAGGATGAGCTTCCCTCTCGCAATATGCCATAAAGTGTCCACCACTGATTATGGTAGGGAGTGAAAAGTCATATGAGGAAACCCAATAAATTACTTGACAAAGAATGCTTTTCAAATAATGACTGATGAAACAAATGCTCTGAATAACTGGATAAGCCCACAAAAACAGCTTGTTCCCCTTATTAAATAGCAGAAAGGCAACAAGCCTCATACTTGAATGATATTATATCAACTTTTCAGAAAAGCAATATAATACTAGTAGTTGCACACATAACAAGTAACATAAGAGTCGTTGAAAGGTGAAAATAAGCAAAATTTACAAACCACCAAGTTCCAGTTCACTTGAATGTCCTTTGTACTGACTGTAATGAAAGAACACTCGAAGATCCTGTTCAGCACACTCAATAAAGCCATAACTTTGCTGCAAAAAACATGCATAAATGTTATAGAAGAAAGACTGAATGTGCTTTTAGAGGGGATGAACTTAGGGAATATATATCAATAACATTATGGAAGATGTCCTTAATACACATGTTGATGTCAAAGCACTCATTGCCGGTCAAATGTAGATCAATACAGTCAAATGTACATGAATGTATTCAAATGTGGTTGAATGTATTCAAATGTACATGAATGTATTCAAATGTGGTTGAATGTATTCAAATGTACATGAATGTACTCAAATGTGGTTGAATGTACACAAAAGTAGATGAATGTATTCAAATGTAAATGAATGTATTCAAATGTGGTTGAATGTACACAAAAGTAGATGAATGTATTCAAATGTAGATGAATGTATTCAAATGTGGTTGAATGTACACAAAAGTAGAGGAATGTATTCAAATGTACATGAATATATTCAAATGTGGTTGAATGTACACAAAAGTAGATGAATGTATTCAAATTTCGATGAATGTATACAAATGTGGTTGAATGAATTCAAATGTGGTTTAATGTCCTCAAACAGGGTGCAAATTAATATAACATAAATGGGCACGTGAATTTCAGTTGAAGGTATTTTCACAATCTTAGGTCAAAAATTGATACAATATCTGTCATGTTAGATTTAAGTGCCTATGTCGGATAATGGGACTTGATATCATTAGAATTATCTTAAAACATAGATTACTGAGGCAAACAGTCCAAATGCAAGTTTTAATACAAAGCTTTTCAAATTGACCAGAACAAAAAATAAGACACCAAACAGTGCAAAACGGTTACAGCTTCCTCTACAAAGGCTCTTGAAATCAAAAACATTTTTGGCAAACTTTTAGATATCATGCAAATACACTTTTAGATGAACAAAGTGACATATTTTTCGTATATTAAGAAACAAGTTTTTTGGTCATAGATAAATTTTTTACTTCTTCATTGTACATCTTATTTTAATTCTGCAGGAACTTACTCTACAAAAGCAACCCCTTTGTAAAAACAGCAGAATCTGCAGCAA